ACAGTTGTAATAACTCTGTTTGCTGAAGAAGGCCAACATTTCTCCATCTGAACAGGTAAAGGATTGTAAGAGTCCAGTTTTACAAACTGTTGGCATAATAGTCTTTTTCCTCTCTTGTTCACCTTCTTTCAATGACTTCTCCACATAACTATCAAACATATCTACTCTCTGAACCAGTTGGAATTGGATAGCTTTCCTCCATACGGTATCAAAAAGTTCTTGAAAAGGTTGGGGGTTTTTTTACTGTGGACTTGGCATACTTGAGACACAGTCTACAATTACCACAGGTTTTTTTGTTCCTGTTCTGATGGAAATTGTAATGAGATGGTTTCAGTTTCTTCTCAAGCTCCCCTAAAAGAACTGACTTGGTTTAGTAAGAAGGCCACAATCATCAAATAATGTGTTAGATGGCAGTAGATTGTACTTCAGTATGTTCATAACAGACTTTCCTCAATCCTTTGCTATGTGTAGGATTTTTCTCAGCTGCAAAGTAGGATTTCTTTTCCAATACTGCAGGTGGTTTAAGTTTTTCTACCTGTTTATCTCCATCAGAAACAAATCCTAGACATTTTATCTTCTTAATGGTATCCAGAAGCTTCTTTGTTTTCTTAATGAAATGTTCATCTCTAAACCTCATATAAGCTTCCTTTGCATGTTCTCTGAATGAAAGCAGTCTTTCAGTTACATCTCTTGAGACATGTTGCTTGCTTATGAAATTGTGAAGTTGTCTGACTGGATGTGATATATGGGTTCTCTCTGTCCTCCCTGAACTGGAACACACAGGAAAGACATGATGCAGTATTTGAGGCAGAACTCCCAGGCAACTCATGGTGAGTGGATGTCTCATGATATCTAGTTCTCTCGGACCCTATTAATTCTCAGAATGTATTGCTGATTGCAAATATTTCATGATAAACAAGTTCCCATTCATTAACGTATTTTGTTGCCCCGTCCATCCAATTATTCCTCTCTCTACCAGGACTTTTTTGAGATCTCTGAATAGTTTGTTCCAGCTTCATGTCAGGAGAAATTACACAGAATGACCCGTTCTATTGTTGGAAAACAACATGGCCATCTAAAAATGTTTGTTCTACATGTCATGCGTGCCTGGAGATCTCTCATTTTCAAGGTACCAAGATACATAGCACAAGTAATTAATGCTGTAAAATTCTCAAAACATATGGAGGAAGTCCTGTACAACTTGAAGATGTGATTCCCAATCACTTTATCAGCAGGTGCTAGATTTTTGAGCATCTGAACTAGCTCAATGAAACCATCCCAACACTTGTACATTTCAGATTTTGCCTGACAGGAAATGCTGGAAGCCTTGTAATCTTCATAGAGATCATTATTCAGCAGTAAATCATTTTCATAGGTGGCCAGAGATGTCTTTGCATCCTTCTCTGTGAGAGATGTCTTCATTTTTGTGCATTTTTGAGTACTGCAAAATACTTGTTAGCAGGAGTGATTTTCCAGACAGCATTCCATTTCAATTTTTGTATGAGTTCTGGCAAGATGAGAAATCCCTTGAGTGACCTCATATAGTGACTACCTTGCATAACTGATTTTAAACTTTAACACCTAATACATCACATTCCACCAAGGTATCCTGATGACCACTCCCATGCAGGTACTTCCCAATAATGTGTATGACAACTTTAGCTCAGTGAAACTTTCCCATCACTGGAACAATGTCTGTAAATTCTGATGGGTTGCACATTATTATATCTGCGATTATATAGAATAGTTCCTCATCACAAAAGGCAGGTAGAGATGTCTGATTCATCTAAGAGCAAACAGTTTGAAGGCTTATAGGGGATGCATAAGCCATTGCATAATCAGTAACAGGTTTGGAATTACTGGTAGCAAACCAATATGCATCAGTGGTGGGTTTTTTTCTTAATAATAAACCGTGACATCCAGCCCATGTAGAAATGGGTGTGGCTGATGAGCTTTCACAAACAGTTACTTGTGAGTTTGGCTGCCCACATAACTCAACACAAAACAATAAACTGGGGCGGGCAATTATTTAGGGTGGAGGGCTGCTTATCCAGTTTTGGCAAGCTGTCAAGGGACATATGGGTAGCCTGCCCCTTGACAGGTGCCCCGCCCCCTGGTTACCATCTTGGGACCAATGTCCCAGGGCCAGCACAGGTGGGGCACAGGCTGGCAGGGAGAGGGGGGAGCTGGTGCAGCTCTGTAGAGCCCCTGCTGGCTGGGACCCTGTACTCCTGCTGGCACTGGCCCTGGCACACTGGTGCGGGTCCTGCTCCTGCACCTGCTCATTCCCAGTGCCTTTTGAGCCCTGCAGTACAGGCGGGGAGCAGCACGCAGCCCTGACCCCCTGCTTGCTGGCAGGGAAGGAGCTAGTGCGGAGCATGGGGAAAAGTGGCCCCTCGCCCACCCCGTGGCTGGTGCTCCCTGCTGCAGCCGCTCACAGCCCGCGCAGGGCTGTCCTGAGCAGGCACAGGCAGCCCCATGCAGGCTGTGTAGGAGCCCGCTAAGGATTCCCTTGGGTCTTACTGCCCCTGGTTCCTGTCATTTCTGACAGGAAACAAGGACAGATAAATTTTAATTTTCAACTTTTTTTTAGGGGCCCTGTGGGCTGGATAGAATGGCCTCGTGGGCTGGGTCCGGCCCATAGGCCGTATTTTGCCCACCCCTGCATTAAACCCATTAAATCCTGTTAATAAGTAACAGTAACTGGTCATTAAAATAATATACAGTACATAAAAGAGTACACAATAAATTGAGCAGTTGAATAACTGTTATTTATTTATTAAAATAAAACTAGCAAACACACACACAAACTCAATAATTATTTTGGTAGGGCAATATATAGTACCATTTTTTTTCAGTTACATGGATGTGGAGCTTACATGGATGTAGAAACCTACTTTCTTTTGTCACTGTGACATTGGAAACTTCTTTAGTGGATTGTTTGTCCTTGAAAACATTGGGTTAGATACCAAGATTACCTTTGTACTATACTTTAAAAGAGGAGATACCAGTCACCAAAGAGAGATTGTCACCATGTTAAAAAATGGTGCTTTCCCACGTTCTGTGCACCAAATGGTGAAGTCTACCCAAGTGTTTTTATCCTTCATCATGTGGTTTCATAAGTACAGGTGCTTACCTTAGTCAATTTTGACTTATCTACAGGGGTCTATGCCAAGGGCTGAACTATATATTTTTTTCTCTAAATGCTATCTTTTATATGCTTTTTAACTACTGTATTACTGTAGCAGAGAAGATATAGAATAGTGTTGCTCCCACCATGATTTATTAATATTTTTTTCTCCTCATATAAAAGTATACTTGTAGTGTTCCCAAAAGTTCTAGATGGGTGTATCTATGAGGAAATAAAAATATCTCTGTTCTTCAAAGGTTGCTTTTGCACATCAGAAGTCTTTACCAGATTTGTGAAAACATGCTAAATTTTAGTACGTTGCTTTAATCAAATCTTTCAAGAGAAATAAGTTTTAGTATTTTACCAAGTCTCTTAAGTGTAAGAATGTAGTTTTGAATATAGTTGAAATTTCATTGCTGTTGTTCGTTTTGGGGTCACATTCTTTCCATACCAATGCAATTAGTCTTTTAGCATCATTCCTATGATATGAGTAAGTAAAGAAGTTCAGCAGAGATTTAAAGGATGCCAATTTCTTTAGCATTCCATTGGTATTTGTCTGATTGATTAAAATCAAGAACCTAAAAATGCAGCTCATAGATCCCCATATTATATATGTGTGAAACAGAAACACTTGCAGGTAAAACTTACTGTCCCCCAGGGTGGATTTGATTTAAATCAAATAGATTTAAATCACTGGTCAGGGAGCCTCGTCATTGCTTTCTACAAAAAGTGCTTTCTTGTTGTTTTGATATAACCATTGTGGAAATAGACTTCAGGATAGTCGGCATACATTCTACATTTCTCTTTAGCCCAATGTTGAGAACTTCGGCTATGACAATTCCATTTTGTCACAATTTTGTTCACAAATTGTTATCAGATTCGGCCAATTCTCAATATATCGCTTAGAGCAGTCCACTACTGAGTTCCATTGCAGTTTTGTGGGAGAGTTTGGTTCCTCCTGCTTTCTTCAGAGCAGCAGCTTCAAAGTGGTTGTTATAGAAGTGTTTTGCAATTTCAACAATTATGCTCAAAATGTTTCTCTCTCCTGTTTCTGCTGCCCCTTTTTCCTTGCATTTATCCCCAGACCTTCTCCTCTTGGCCCAGATCTACTCTACCCCCAACAATCCTCTATTCATTTAACTTCTTGAAAATTTGCACTTTTAGAGAGAAGTAAGGGCTTGACTCTGTGTACACAAACTTGCAGAGAGACAATAGGGCTGATCCTGGATAATCAGGTCTCTTATCTCATCTCCACATACTGATATTAACAAGGATGTTATATCTGGAGGCACAAATCCACAACTGAAACTAAGCATCGCAGAGATGCTTAATGGGGTCTTCTAGATTGAGCACTGAGTCCCATTGGGTAGAGTGGTTTTCTTTAATCATTACTAATCTACAGAGCAGCCTCTAGGAACCCCATAAGATTGAACCCCTAACATAGTCCATGGCCTGTTGTGACCTATTGAAAAACTTTTCTAAAAATGTTACATGAATATATTGTGTCAGATAGTATATAATTAGAAGCTATAATCCGTATTCCAGGATGATGTCTTTGAGCTTTAATGTATCTTAAATTAAAACTATCTTTATATACATTTATTTTTTTAAGCATTTTAATTGAAAAATACAATTAAATTAAGAAATCCATTTGGTTTGTTTTAAATCTGATTAAAAAAAAATTAATGCCTCCTGCTGTCCCCTAATTCCCCAGGTACTTCTAATAAAAACATGCCTTTTGTGTTTATCAGTAATGTTACTTGCCTTTAAAATGCAGATATTGTATGGAATTATTTTATATCTGTATGCTTTGTGATACTGTTCTCTTGTCTGAAAACTTTACTTTTATTATACTTTTAATTTACATCAGAGCAAGGACAAGATTGCATCCTACAGCAAAACTCCAAAAGTGGATAGGAGTGATGTTGGGAAAGAAATGAAAGACAAGTCTTCCATGAAACGTAAACTTCCGTTTACTATCAGTCCATCCAGAAATGAAGATCGAAATTCAGACACAGGTAGAATCTTTCTATTTTCTCTCCTAATCATGTTTTTGCAGTGAGCATTGTAATTAAAATTAGTTTACGTTATGATATTGACTTTTTCAACACAAGGATAGTAGGTAAAATATGTGCTTGCTTGCTTGTTTCTGATGGGTTTTTCATCCTGTCAAGCGCTTGCATGCCAGGGTAGTTCCTCTCAGCTATTTTTTTTCTAGTCATCCTCCAGTCTTACTCTTCACTTTTTGTATTTTTGTCATAAATCTGTCACCTTCATTGTCATCGCCAAATGTCCAAAGAGGGGAGGGTAAGTTCCTCGTCTAAAACACATTCCTTTGCCTTTTGTGGCCTTTTTTTGTCTTCCATGCGGATCCTTAATGCTAAGTCCATGGAAATAAATACCCCCATAGCAACTCATAGAAGAAATTTTTCCTGCAGCCTAAATTTCTGTAAGCTATAAAGGACATACCTGCTTGATGTTTTTTGTAATTCAAACACCTACCACTAGAATTATTTGCTTGAAGTTTTCATGGTCTTTCTTACTACACCTCCTTTAGAATCAGGATAACAGGGAGTTTTAGGATACCTCACCTACTCCAAAGTATAATTTTCTCATAGAACTATAACTCCCTTGAACAGACCTCTAGTCCAATAAGCGCTCCAATAACAACAAAACAGTAGGACTGCCTTCCTCCCATTCCCAATTGTGGTTGAAAGAAAAATGCTTCACGTGTAGCACTTTTTCAGTACATTTATTTATAGCATCATTTCTGAAGCAGCTTCTCTTCATAATAAGGTTGACTATGCCTGTAAGCTTGACACCTCCATAGGCAAGTTTAAAACTAAATACAAGATTATAGTATATCTCCCAGTTGTTTACTACAGGGCTGTCCAACTTCACTGTGAGCAGGGATCGTCTGCTGTGCGTGACACATGCTGTGGGGGCAGGCTGGTGCTGGCATGCAGTCCATGGGATTCCCCTCTTCTCCCCCTGCTGCATGGGCCCTGCCAGGATTCATTTTCCCCCAGCTATGTGGGCGGTGACATGTGGCCACCCAAGATCCCATTGTGTGGGCTGCACAGGTCATGCCGCCTGGCTGTGCAAACAGTGGCAGCAGCATGTAACCCCTTCTGGAACCTTCCCTACTATGTGGCAGTGGGAGAGGTGGCTGTAATGAGCTACCATTTGGAAAGCCCTGATTTACTGTACAGCCAAAGTTAATATTATACAGTGATCTGCCTCCTGAACGCACAGACCCAAGTGAAATTGCATGACTTTTGTCCACAAAGACAAGACTGACAAGCTGTCCTAGTTTTAGTTTGTTAGTAGAACCATTCACATTACATGCAAGAAGAAGTCATGTCATCAGATGTCAATTTCTAGTAGCTCTTTGGAATTGTAGCATCTTTTGCAATTAAGTGAAGGCTCTTGATTCTGAAAAAGCCATGTTCTAAGCATAAATTCTCAACACACTACCAGAATCTGCTATATTGGGTAGAGCATTTAGTTTTAGATGCCAATAATATTTAATCTATTTTAGAGTAATTTAGAATAATATAGTGTTTTACATTAATGTTACAGTTGTAAACACCTTCAAAGTAATCATCACATCATGTAAGATTCTATTGCTATGTAATGTTTTATCAGTAGCATCTACTGTAACAGTTATAAGAAAGAGAAAGTTCATTATGCTAAGCACTGCACAGATGTATAAAAATGACACTTCTAGTTCCAAAGAAAATGTCAAAAAGAGTTTTAACAGGTATACGAGGTAAGCAGGTAGCTTAGACCCTGAACAAGGGTGAGGTAAAGCAATAGGATATGCACAGGTATGATCACAACCTGATCTCTGACTGGTTGTTGCTGCTTTCTGTCTATTTTATGGGAGAAGTAACTAGTATCATCCCTGTTTTACAGATGAGAACCTTAAAGTATAGAGGTTAAGTGGTTGCTGAGGCAGTCCAGAGTCAGTGGCATTCTTGGGGCTAGACCTCGGATTTTCTAGTCTAAATTCCTTCCTAATTCGTTAGGCTAGACTGCTGTCTCTGATGTTGCCTGTGTATGCTGATTGTACTTAGAGAAGATTGGTAAAGGGAATTATAGTGAGAGAAAAGGAAGTAGGAGAATTGGTGTGAAGCCAAATGGGGAGCAAGAGGCAATTGTAGCAAAATGAAAAAGACAGTTGGAGAGTTAGAAAAAAGAATAGACAATGAGGTATTTCATGAAAAGCTTTGTCACCTGGTAAACATGCCTTTTGAGTAATAAAGGGAAATGGAGATAATTGCTTAAACCTTCAGATTAGAGTGATATTAATACAAAATCTGACTTCTGTCCTTTTTTCACAGTAGCTTATATTATCTTAGGAAATGATCAAAATCAAATGATGATAGATACTAAAGAAGTGCAGCTAGTGCTAGTAATTAACATGACCTTGAAAAAGTCTGTGGTTATGTGTTTGTCCCCCTTCCCAGATTTTTCATTGGTCCTTATGAATCTCATAATAAAAATATTTTTAAAGTTTTCCAGCCTTTGCCAGGTTACCTACCAAATTGCTTTTGATTACAGATTTCTAACATTTATTATCCATTATTTAAGATATTGACCAGTTTTGTTTGTGTTAGAAGTGTTCTTCTGAATAGGTAATAGAAATATTGATAGGTTTGCTGCCCTGTTACTTTGAAAATGGAATCATCAGGTAGCTCATCTCTAAACACATCTCTGTGCACACACCAAAACCCAAGAAAAAGTGTGGTTATGGTTAAAGCTACAGTGCCTGTAAAATAGCTCGTCTCCAAGAACACAGTGTTGATTGCCTTTTTGTCATGTGGGCCAAATGGACAGTGCCTGATCTGTGTGCTGGCCTGATCTGACTTGTGGGGCAGGGGAGGTAAGGAGTGTGGCCCAGGCCTGATCCAGCTGCATTGAGGCGGGGGCGTGGCCTGGCCCCAACTTGGCCCTGCAGTTGGGAGCAGGTGTGGCCTGGCCTTAACATGGCTGCATGGAAGGGAAAGGAGTATGATTTGGGCCCAATCCAGCCACATAGGGGTCGAGGGGCGCTTCCCAGCCCCATTCTGGTCATGTGGGGCTTAGGAATTTGGCAAATGGGGAGGAGTGGCAGTATTAATTGCCACTGCTTCTTCACCTCCAAATTTCCTAAACCCATGGAGAGTCCCATGGGCCAAGGGTTGAACACTAGGCCTATGCAAGTAGAGAAGTATTCAATTTGGATTCGGCTGATTCAGAGGACAATGATTGGATTTGGAGATTCAGATCACTGTCCCAAATCGATTCAGCCAAATTGGCTTTGGAAGATTTGGCACCGATTCAGAGAGATTTGGTGATTTGGCTATAGACTATAATGAGGATGCACTGAAATACCTATAACTTTGTCATTTTTTGGCAGATTTGGATGAAAACAGCAGTAATGGTATCCCCTTCTGAGGGCATGAAGCCTTCTAAGATTCAAGGAGAGAGATACGGGGGTTTCTGGGAAACTGCACCTCAAGGTGCTGATGAGCAAAACTTGTGATGCATGTTACTTTGTATGTCAGTGGAATGAAAACTGCAGGGATAGGTAGCCCTTGTTGTCACCCTCACAACTCCATTGCAACCA